CTATGGCCCATTAGTTCTTCAATTATTGCCTTTGAGCTCATTTTGTTTTGTGATATTAATAATACTAATATATTGATATTTTATTAATTTCAATCTACTTTTGCGTCTGTTTAGCATCGTCACGGCCATTTGCATCTTTTTTTGCACATTTTACCTTTTTTTTGATAATTTTAGCTACACTCTACAATTTTAGCAGTTGTTTTGATTATTTWGTATCAACTATTCTGCTTATTTTAGCATCTATTTAGCTAACTGTAGCTGCTGTTCTTGTTTTAGCTCACTTTTTTTGTATCTTTTTATTTACTTTATTGTTACCATTATTATTATTGTTTATATTTTGTTTTTTCTTTTTCAGTTGATCATTAGGGTGTGAAATCATTATTTATAATATATATATAATAATTTATTTATTTTTGTTAAATGGAGGCAGATGTCATAAGATATTTTTCTTCTTTCTGCTCCTTTTCATATAATGATATAGTGTTTGTGTTGTGTTGTAATTTGTTGTTTATTATTGAATGAAATAAATGTTTTAAAAATAATTTAAAAATTTAGCCAAGTCATTCAGCRTTTACACAGTATTTTCACAGAAAATTTAAAGTTTCTGCTCCTGTTATACTTTGATCAAAGTTTGTTAGAGGCATCTTTTTATTAAGACTTCAGGAAATGAGGTCGTCTTATGGACGAGGAACTATTTTGTCTTTTTAACAAAGTTTCTCAGCACCGCTCTGCTCTTGGACTGGATCAGTTTTTGTAAAATTTATTTTAATTTTTTTAATGCATTCTACTTTGTTTTTTGGGGTTTTGTATGGTTTTACCTGATTTTATCTTTGTTTTATCTTTTCATTCTGATATTGTATTTAGAGGTGGGAGTTGTATTTATATTTTGTTTTGTGATTTTCTTGGAATCAAGCRGACTCACTTTCAYTGTAACCAAATTAACCTGCGGCTACAAATAAAGTTGATTGATTGAGCCGAGGTTTTAAGGATACTGCTGATGATGCTGCACAGTGTGCAGACTCCGATGCCGAGGCGGACCAGGTACATGGTTCTGCTGTGGATGTGCGGGTGCATGTAGAGCGAGATGACTGTCTGGATCATGATGTAGAGAGCTCCGACCCCGAAGGTCATCGCAGCCCCCACCAGGTGCATCGAGAACAAGGTGGTCTTCTGTTTGTAGAGGGGGACACACGGGCTCACGGCTGACACGTTCAACACGTATGAACTGATCTCAGAGCAGCAGCTCTCACCTGGAAGTTGGCCACCACACACATCCCGAAGGAGCTGACGCAGCCGAACGCCAGCCCGACACGGTTCAGTCTCCGGAGCGCCACTTCCTCCTCGCCTGAAAGAGCCTCCACCTGYTTGTAACGCACGTAAACGGTGGCTATGCCTGCAAACAGGAACACAGAACATTTAGACAGCTGCTAACAGAAGGAAGAGTCCGTGTGTGTAGACCAGGGGTCTGCAACCTTTATGATCAAAAGAGCCATTTCTGYTCCTGGGCTCACTAATAAAATGTGTCCAGAGCCACAAAATAAGCTACAGCTGTGATTATCAACTGCTGGTCCGTGGGCCTTTTCGAGGCCTTATTGGGCACCTTCACGGCCAATGGAGGTGACATTATAAAACTGAAAAATATACTGTGAATTTTATTTTTTATTATTATTTTTAAACATCAGGACAAAAGA